ACCAATCAGAATCTTGTTACACAAAAATAGCCAATCAGATTTGAGTATAAATCCCAAAATTTGGCGCTTTTAAAAAAGTATTGGATGTTTCTTGCTGTCCGGTACTGTATAATCTCCAGAATCGACAAAATCCGCCCATACGTACTGTAAAACCAAAGGTCTCAAATACATTAACATTATACTATCAGATAAGCAAAACGATAAGTGATTGTTGGCACGAGATTATCTTTTTGTTGTTATTGTAAACACGTCAGAGTTTGATCTTGAATTCTTAATAAGGCAATTTTAAGATGATAATTTTTTGTGCAAATTTAGGGATCACAAGAAAAATACACTTTAATTGCACTATCGATATTGATAATACTGTTTTTGTAAATGTCACCTCTACATCGGAAAAAAGAAAATTTATTATCGGAAAAAAAAAACTATTGGTACCTTGCCAATATACGTATAACTGTTGAAGAATTGTACGTACGTACAAATAGTGATTTTCACTTTTTCCTTAAAAATTATTGCTAAGCGAATTTCTGAAAGACGAATGAATAATTCCTAGTTCGTTTAGCAGCAATAAAAACAACAGAGGAATGTGCTATATACCATTAAAATAGACAAGTGTGATAGACAAGTGTGGTTTCAATTTGAACGCCAAAATGAAAATTCTAAAGAACTTATAGTATATAATTACAAATCATTAATCTGTTTTTGAATAAATTATTTGTAACTTTTCATAATTTAAAATTCATCCGTTGGCTATCTACCATATTAATTCAATGGAAATACATAAAATGTAACAAAAATTTTAATTATTAATTAACCAATTGACAAAATAAGATTTTTTTGGAACTTATAGCGTTAACGGCTATAGAATGATTTGGGTTCTAGAGCAATATTTTATAATTAAGTCAAAATAAATAATGTCATGCATCAGATTAAAATTAAAATTTAAAGCGAAGTTTTATTAGGGTTAAGCATGTTAGGTATTAGCGGAATTATGATGGTTTTAATCTGGCGCAGATTCTAACTTGGCGCACAACAATAAAGACAAATAGCAGCTTTTTAGGACAGTGATAAGACAGTGATAAGACAGTGATAAGACAATGATAACTGATAGATTATGACAAGTTCCTTGGTTCTGCAATTCAGTAGTAAATTTAGATTAGTTTATTAATTTAGAAGATCAAAATTTTGATAATCAATTTTCGATACCATAGTACTCGCAAAATTTTATTAATTTTTAATCAACATTTGAAACAGAATAATTTAATTGATAATATTGTAAAACATTATCGGTTGATTAATTAAGTTTCATCGATTCAATATCCAACGTACATTCGTAGTTTGTTTTATGCCAGTACATCATCGATTGCATGACACCATAATAATGAACCAATGCAGCAGCTAATACAAACAAATGAAATATTTGATGTGATGAACCCTATAAATTGTTAGATCTTTTAATAAATGTCATATACATTCATTAAATAAAAAAAAAAGCACACAAGTAGCTTACATAAATATCAAATTTTCCAGGATACCATTTTTCTGGTATTCTAGATTAAAATGATGTAAAATAATTAGTATATCTTTTCCATTTAAAATAGTTATTATCGTTCATAATATTTGATAATAACATATAATTACACATTTACATTGTAGGTGACAGGCATACATACCTTGTTCCATAAACTAATGCTCCTGCAATATAAAGTATACCAGTTATTATTATCCATTTTAACGAGATTACAGAAAAACAAAGTTCAATCTGTAATATAAAAAGAGAGATTGTCACGACGTTAACAAAACTATCGCTATTGAATTAGCGAATATCTTTAAAATCTAGATATAATAAAATATATACTCCATAAAGAACTAATGCATGGGTCAGTGGTATGACAGCACTTAATCCCAAAGCTAAAAATAAACATGTTCGAAACCATCTAAATTTTGGATATCTAAATTTTGAATATATTGTTAAACATGTCTAATTATTAAGAAAAATATTTTTTTTTAATTATTATATTAAAGCATTAAATATTGTGATATAATTCAGGGCTTTTACGTATTTACGTACCGTAGCAATTCCAAGAATAGTTATTAATGATAAATAAATGATTTTTACAATATTATTACAAAAAAAACCTTAATAAAAAGAATAGTCATAGTAATCTAGTAAATATTCTAGTGAACAATCTAGTGAATAATTATAATACAATATGACTAACCATAATATAGCGTTGGATAAAACGACCCTCTAGAAGATTTTTATTAATTCATATATTCAAAAAAAAACTTCATATGTACACACATTTTTGCATATTAACAAACCAATCAACAATCACTTGGCAAGATTTGTTCGTGCTTGATATGTTTTTGGCAGGTGCTATAGTTTGTCTAGGCCTTAGTTCGATCTTTCATTTATTCTGTTGCCACTCTGAAAGAGTAAGTCATCACTAAACGTATTACCGAACTTGGATCCTACGAATGTGATTAATAATATTTGTTGTAGGTATGCGCTAATTGGAATAGATGCGATTATATTGGGATCGTGTTTTTGATTGTGTAAGTTCAAGCTTGTTATGTGTACATATGAAGTTTTTTTTTGAATATATGAATTAATAAAAATCTTCTAGAGGGTCGTTTTATCCAACGCTATATTATGGTTAGTCATATTGTATTATAATTATTCACTAGATTGTTCACTAGAATATTTACTAGATTACTATGACTATTCTTTTTATTAAGGTTTTTTTTGTAATAATATTGTAAAAATCATTTATTTATCATTAATAACTATTCTTGGAATTGCTACGGTACGTAAATACGTAAAAGCCCTGAATTATATCACAATATTTAATGCTTTAATATAATAATTAAAAAAAAATATTTTTCTTAATAATTAGACATGTTTAACAATATATTCAAAATTTAGATATCCAAAATTTAGATGGTTTCGAACATGTTTATTTTTAGCTTTGGGATTAAGTGCTGTCATACCACTGACCCATGCATTAGTTCTTTATGGAGTATATATTTTATTATATCTAGATTTTAAAGATATTCGCTAATTCAATAGCGATAGTTTTGTTAACGTCGTGACAATCTCTCTTTTTATATTACAGATTGAACTTTGTTTTTCTGTAATCTCGTTAAAATGGATAATAATAACTGGTATACTTTATATTGCAGGAGCATTAGTTTATGGAACAAGGTATGTATGCCTGTCACCTACAATGTAAATGTGTAATTATATGTTATTATCAAATATTATGAACGATAATAACTATTTTAAATGGAAAAGATATACTAATTATTTTACATCATTTTAATCTAGAATACCAGAAAAATGGTATCCTGGAAAATTTGATATTTATGTAAGCTACTTGTGTGCTTTTTTTTTTATTTAATGAATGTATATGACATTTATTAAAAGATCTAACAATTTATAGGGTTCATCACATCAAATATTTCATTTGTTTGTATTAGCTGCTGCATTGGTTCATTATTATGGTGTCATGCAATCGATGATGTACTGGCATAAAACAAACTACGAATGTACGTTGGATATTGAATCGATGAAACTTAATTAATCAACCGATAATGTTTTACAATATTATCAATTAAATTATTCTGTTTCAAATGTTGATTAAAAATTAATAAAATTTTGCGAGTACTATGGTATCGAAAATTGATTATCAAAATTTTGATCTTCTAAATTAATAAACTAATCTAAATTTACTACTGAATTGCAGAACCAAGGAACTTGTCATAATCTATCAGTTATCATTGTCTTATCACTGTCTTATCACTGTCTTATCACTGTCCTAAAAAGCTGCTATTTGTCTTTATTGTTGTGCGCCAAGTTAGAATCTGCGCCAGATTAAAACCATCATAATTCCGCTAATACCTAACATGCTTAACCCTAATAAAACTTCGCTTTAAATTTTAATTTTAATCTGATGCATGACATTATTTATTTTGACTTAATTATAAAATATTGCTCTAGAACCCAAATCATTCTATAGCCGTTAACGCTATAAGTTCCAAAAAAATCTTATTTTGTCAATTGGTTAATTAATAATTAAAATTTTTGTTACATTTTATGTATTTCCATTGAATTAATATGGTAGATAGCCAACGGATGAATTTTAAATTATGAAAAGTTACAAATAATTTATTCAAAAACAGATTAATGATTTGTAATTATATACTATAAGTTCTTTAGAATTTTCATTTTGGCGTTCAAATTGAAACCACACTTGTCTATCACACTTGTCTATTTTAATGGTATATAGCACATTCCTCTGTTGTTTTTATTGCTGCTAAACGAACTAGGAATTATTCATTCGTCTTTCAGAAATTCGCTTAGCAATAATTTTTAAGGAAAAAGTGAAAATCACTATTTGTACGTACGTACAATTCTTCAACAGTTATACGTATATTGGCAAGGTACCAATAGTTTTTTTTTTCCGATAATAAATTTTCTTTTTTCCGATGTAGAGGTGACATTTACAAAAACAGTATTATCAATATCGATAGTGCAATTAAAGTGTATTTTTCTTGTGATCCCTAAATTTGCACAAAAAATTATCATCTTAAAATTGCCTTATTAAGAATTCAAGATCAAACTCTGACGTGTTTACAATAACAACAAAAAGATAATCTCGTGCCAACAATCACTTATCGTTTTGCTTATCTGATAGTATAATGTTAATGTATTTGAGACCTTTGGTTTTACAGTACGTATGGGCGGATTTTGTCGATTCTGGAGATTATACAGTACCGGACAGCAAGAAACATCCAATACTTTTTTAAAAGCGCCAAATTTTGGGATTTATACTCAAATCTGATTGGCTATTTTTGTGTAACAAGATTCTGATTGGT